TATATATATATATATATATATATATATAAAGAGAGAGAGAGAGAGAGAGAGATTATGCCAAGCAATATTGCTTGGATGTAGCTACAAGCTATCCATAAAGCAAAAATCTTGTATAATTCATGTGAACCCTTTAGAGATTTTTATCAATGGTATCGCAGTTTACTATTTTTTCAGAAAAACTAAGATTGAACAATTTAAGTCTAGAAAGCTAAAAAGGAATATGAAATTGGTCACATGTGTAAGAAGTAAATCCTGGAAATGTACTTGCGATGGTCAAGAAGCTTACTAGAATTCTAGAAAACATAAACCTTAATTTATAAGTTCTTAAGTAAAGGATTAACAAAGATTTTAAATCTCATTTAACTTTTTCGTAAAGAAACAGCAGTCTTAAGATTTTATGGCTATATAAGTAATTTAATTTAATTTCTAACTTCTTTAATGGGAATAAAGAAGCTGCATCAAGAGCTAAGGGTTAAATACTTTGGGTGTCTGGAAATAGTAGCCTCTTTCATATCATCAATTCCAAACAGTTTTAGTCATATCACACCTAAACTTTGGTTTAAATTCTTATGCTAAACTTCTACACACAGAAAGTTTGGATAAGGGAAGTTGAAACCAAAACATTTTTTATGTTATCTGGACAGCTAAGATTTTCCCTTAAACATAACAATTCCCCAAAATATGTAATTTTTAATGGATAGGTAAGAACTTGAAACTTTTTTTCTGGTCAATAGCAAATAAAAGGCAGTGGGGGGTGACAATTTGGAACACAGTTCACTTGTAGTTGATGTGAATTTCCAGTTTTTTCATGTTTTTTAATTTTACTATTAAATTTTAGACCAATTTTTGTGATAATAATTATAATTTTAATATGAAAAAAAAACAACTGAAACACCACCTGAACTCACTATTTTTACTTGCTATTTTAAAATTGAGGAATCCAATCAAAAGATGTGCAATAACTATGTGCAACATGCTACCAGAAGAAATTTATCAATCAATTATCATAATGTGGTTTTTCCTATGAAGAATGCAGCTCTTTCTACAATTATTACTTTTGTTTACAAGTAATCTAAATATTTATAATCATGGTTGGATTATCAAATGACAAAAATGCCAGTGTCCTTTGCTGGTCAGCTAGCTACTGCTCTGTAGGTCAAACTTGAAGCCACAGATGTATGGCTTGTATAAGATTATGAGTGAAAGTACCTGGCTCCACTCAGGTTATTAGGTTGATATATTCTAGATGACTATGACAGTGTGTGTATTCTGAACCTATTTTTTGCATAGAAGAACAGTCAAAAATATTTTAAACATTTTAATTTCCCAGAAACATAAAGTCTTAAAGGCAGTACAGTAAACAAAGAATTATTTATTATTAATGAACTTTATCATTGCATTAATATTTCACATTCACATTTTTTCAGAATCTATTACAATTTTTTTACAGTTCGATTAATGTCTGCCTATTATGATTTTGGTGAAGGGAGTGCAAAGGGGGCCATGAAACCTTGTAAGTGTAGTGAATGTTGGTATCAACTAAAGAAATTAATAAATAAGCCTAAAGTAAAGACATAGTGTGAGATAACCTAGCCTAGAGCCAGGTGAATAAAATTTAACATGAAAATAAAAATATTGATCCAATTTTAAATTTAAGTAATAAAAACCAACCTCTTAAATCAATGGAGACTCTAAATTAGAAAACAACAAATATTTTTTTCAATTTTGTAGTTTATACATTTGATTTCATACCTTCAGTACATAGACAAACAACAATATTAAGACTCATTTATGCCACTATACGCCACATTGTCTAACATATATAAAAGCAGCATGACGTGGCATGTCACGTCATGCTTGATTTCTCTTTATGCCAGGTGCATAAAATTTAACATGAAAATAAAAATATCGAGCCAATTTTAAACATAAATAATAAAAATAATAATAATAAAGTTCATTGATAATAAATAATTCTTCATTTACTGTATTCACTTTATGACTTTTCTATGTTTGTAGGAAATAAAAATTGTTTAAAATATTTTTGTCTGTTCTTCTATGCTAAATTAGAAAATAACAAATATTATTTTCAATTTTGTAGCTTATACATTTAATTTTATACTTTTAGCGCATAGACCCTTAACAACAATATTAGGTTACACTTTTATTACTAAGCAACATGATATAAAAGCCATTGTTGGAACGCATTGTTACCAAAACACACTGGCTTTTCTACATATTAGAAGTTGTTATACAAGGAACCATTTCTTTTCTATGTGGTTTTTTACTAGATTACCTCATTAAAAAGATGTACATGCACACATGGATAAGTAATAATACCCAGGTACACACCCTCAGGATACACTTAGTATGGGTGTAAAATTTCAGGTTTCTAGGTTCTTTCCTTTTGGAGTTATGGTGGCCACACACACAGACACATTATTTTATTATTATATATGTAGCACATTAATTAATTATCCTTCTATATACAAATACATTTGAAACACATGTAGCATGAAATGATGAATGACTGTATACTAGTATAACGGTGACAACTTCAGCAGTTTTGTACCTGTTTAAAATAACAAGGATTTCATGTAAATTAGATGCATAGTTAACTATTCACTCTTAATATGTACTAGCTGAGAGTACTTGGTAAGAAAGCAAAAGTTGTATAAAGTACAATGTTAGATAATGTTTTAAACCCTCAATGACCTCAGCAGATGCTGATTACATACCTTACTTTGTAGAAGGTAATAATTCACTTATTTAACTGCCTAAGTACTTATGTCCTTAAATTCAAAGCCAAAAAATTCTACAGAAAAGTGGAAATGTATCTTATTTCAGGGTATTTTTTTTATCTCCTTTCTTAGGCAAAATCCTAAAACAAAATAGCCCATGTACACTGTTGGACTCTTTCTAGTTTTCATACCAAATATTAAAGTAATCAAGCTAGCTATCTTTGGGTGATGAATCCTAACAGACAGACATACATGATGGATCATCTTTATAGTAACATGCAAAGAATAAGCTCTATATGCACAAAAATATTAACTGACTGAGTGTCATGGTTATGAAGCAACAGAATGTTTAATGGAACTATGAAGCTTCTACCAGTTAAACCTTACCAAATTCATATCTCCATTTATGCAAGGTTTTATCCACAGTATTAGATACAAAATATTTAAGTTTCATTTCTTAGTAATGTATGTGACTTGAATATACACATTTTAAGTGCTAGAAAATGAAATATCTTAATTATTACTCTCTCAAATCATGTAGAGCAGATATACTTTTACATTATAGCAAATTTATTAACAAATTTCATAACTGTATTCAAAATGATTTATCGGAGAAACCTCTGCAATTCCAGTATATGTATATTCATTTACAAACATAATTTTGGCATTTAATTCTTTGTCTGTGGCAAATAAGTAAACATCTTTTAAACCATATAGAAAAATCTCATTAGAAAAGTCTATACAAACCCTTCTATCAGTGATGCTCTCATGTTGTTGGAAATGTTAGCAGGCTGAGCCTCATTAAGTTTGAACACACTTTCAATCACAGAAAGTTCTGTACTTGTTGTATCTATTCCACAGAAAGCACACCAATCATTCACAACCATACCTGCACCAATAACGTCACTTCCCCGGTTTACTGTACCTGCCTAATTCAGGAATAAATTCTTTTAACTATTTTCTTCTTATTTTTGTTTAAGTTCAAAATTCATAATTATGACTCTCAATTTATGGAAGTGGTAAATTTGTTAATACTCCAAATTATTTCACGTTAAATGTGCTAGACTTAGAATATAACAAACAAAAATACAGCATGAAGAATTCTGAACATATAAAAATACAAAATTCCTCCAAGTTTTAGCAAAACCTAGAAGAGGGAACAAGTTTTAGTTGTTTTACAGAAAGACAGTTAGCTTTGTAGATGGTGTACAATCCAAGCTGCAAGTGCTAAAACAAACATGATATAAGAAATGAAACAAAGCTTCTGATTGACAGGAATCAACAACGCTAAGATGATAGAACAAATAAACAATAGTAAAGCTAATAATACACAAAATAATAATGTTGTTGATTATATTAACAGTATTACTCATTCATTAGATCATGCAAGTCTTTATTGAGAATGTTGTATGAATAATTTAAGACCTACTACAAAAAATACCTAGTTTAATTTCTTGATAACATATGTGACATTTACAAACAACATGTCTAACCTTAGAATATAACAAATAAACAAAAGTGCTACATGATGAAAAAAATTTTACTTGGTAATTTCTAACATCATTTAGAATTATACATACAGTATATATACTTTTATATTCTCTAACTTCATGGACAGTTTGAAGGTTTTAGTAACAAACTAAAGTAGAAATTAATAAGTTCAGTTGGATAACCTCACTTAACCCTGTCCAGATGGGTCACGGGTCAAAGGACATGTCATTACATTTGTTGACTTGCATTAAAAATTTTATTGAATTACTATTTCATGAATTTATGTCAATAAGTTTGGTAGCAAACTGTAGATTACAATTCAAATTTTAGTATTATGCATAATTGAATTTCTTAATTTAATAGTAAATATTAAAAAAATACAGTTAAACATTGATTTTTGTGTGACACGTGGTATGTTGAATGCAGCACTGGTTCAAATTAGATGTTTGTGATGTCAAAGTACTATGTCTATAGTTTCGTACGAATTAGGAACTAAAATTACTGATATTGACAAGCTAAAATATAAAATAAGAACCTCGTATCTTTTTTATTTGCTGGGGTTATTACTCATTTACTGAATCAAACACAGTGGCCCCGCTCACCTCTTTCCATTTTTTGGAAACGGTCCCTTATATACTGTTACTTCAGTATATGTCGTGAATAACCAATCAAAAGCTCAGAATGTCCCCCTAATGGCTTTCTCAGCTATTTTCACATGTTGATGCCATCTTATTCTTTCGAACCAAGATTTCAAGAAGGTAAGTTGTGTCTTTAGTCTGCTCTAAATTTAATATTTTTTTAAGACTCAAATACAGCTTAGTTTCTAAGCTTGATAAATTATAGGGGAATTCTATGGAATCAATATAGTAATTTATAATTTTTTGGTTATTTAAAATGTGTATATAAAACCTAAAAAAAATTATTTTGTTTCATATCCTCAATGTGCAAAATTTTAAAAGGCTTAGCAATCTACATCTAGTAGCAACCGAGTACGAAGGTCGTAGTTAGAAAAAATAATTGTTTGCTTTATTTATTTATTTACTGTTTTATGTTTTAAGAAAAATAAGTTTAAGAACTTATTTCTAAATAGTAATAATCTATATAGATATATAATGTATAATAATGGAAATGTGACTGTATTTTACAAAATACTAGTTTACTAAAACACAGCCAAGACAGGCCACTTTGTAAAGACTAAAGATCAGTTTTATATTATTGGATACGGTAACATGAGAGCATGTGTGCCACGTCATTGTAACTTCTGTATTGTTAGCCAGGCACGGCTGAAAAGTCAATATAATAAAAAATATATAAATGTATATTGTTATGCTTAACAAACCTTAAGCCTTAATAAAAGAATTTGATATTTTGCGTAAGAAAGCATTGTAATGTTTACTGATAATCTGCTAAATTTCATTAACATATGCTTACTAATTTAAATGTTATAGTATGAAAACTATAACAAGCACAAAATGGTTATGAAGTTGGTCCCAGGGACAGAGTCCATGCTGAAAGAGTTAACTTTGTTTTTGGCATTAGTTAAAAATAAATAAAAATAAGAATGCACCTTCAACATTCACACCTAACTTACCACTAAAGGAATTTGGAGAAGAGAAGACAGCTCATCCATATCTTCCACAGAGGTCTGAGGGTGTACCTTTGTAACACAGAGAAAATAAAGGATCCTCACATTTACTGTTACTCATGTAAACTTATAGACATGTACATACTAACAAGTTTATTTTATACCTTTCCACCCACTCTAACACCAGATGACCATTTCTTATTGTTGTGTTAATTCAGTAATTTAAATCTCTTAAGGATACGAGTGAAACTTGTAATCAATAATTTTATAAATAATACTTTTTACACACAAGCAACTCAAATATTTTAATTAAAAAGTTATGCATAAAATATGTGATGATTTAATGGCACTAGTGGTTACCAAAATTACATAAACTTAATTTGCAGATGGTTGAATACAAAGTAAATGTGTAATGATCAAAACAAAATTTACAGCATGTGAGATATATAAAATATAAAACTTATCATAATTACGCTGAATAAATTAGTTGAGTGAGTTCACTGTTAACCTTGTTTATAGTCGTAGTTCAAAAAAAAAAGTACAAATGCTCATCCAGCATTACAATTTGTTTAGGTTATGTCTAATTCCACGTACTAAATATCAACATAAACTAGTTGTTCAGTAAGTAGTTAATATTCAACAACTCTTGGAGGAGTTTAGATAAAAAGAATGCTTAATATACAACCAACTTAATAAAAAGCAGAAACATTCTAAATCTGCTGTTACATACTTGGGTATTGGAAAACACAAATTGCTAATTTTTGAGGCACCCAATATGCCAACATATGAAACTGATATCTTCACCAATTACTTGGATGATTTTGGGGAATATGATTGAGCTGTCCTGGAACCTAGGATTAGTGTGTTCTTTTAAGCAATATCCCAGTCTTTTGACAGTTGAGCCCGACTGTCAGAAGACTGGGACATTGTTTATAGGAGATCCTAGGTTCAAGGGCAACCTAAGCATTGTTTAACATGTTCTAGGTGACTGTGATATGGTCCTACACCCCAAAATCTTGATAAAGCTGAAAATGAGGCTATGCTATGGGCAAAGAAAACACTTTTGATTCTTCAAAATAAGCTGAGATTAAACAATCAACAAAGCACTTCTAAATTTTTACTTACAATACAGGTATTTGACATTTATCTAAACTTTTATGCTATATTGCATAATTTGCAGTAAGCTTATCTTTTATTATGGCAGTGGCTCAAAATTACATAAAATAAGCAACTCTCCTACAAACTGTAAATGAAATAAGCACACACTGCATTTTTAAGTGTGTGTGACTGCTACGGAACTAAAATTTTTTAAAAGATTTTTGTCATTTGATGAGTGTGACTGCAGTATGATTGCAATTCCCTGAATTGTTCACCTGAAAAACATTCAGTAAAGACCAAACCTGTTTCATAATAAACACCTTTAAGATATCTGTAAATTTATGTTTAATAAGCAACATGGAGCAAAGAAAATTGGGTTATTATAATCCTCCTATTTTTTAAATGTCTTTGAAATTTCTTAACAAAAAAGAGAAGGCATTCATAAGCAGAGAAGGTAAAACTTTAAATATTTTTAGATTAATACATAGTTACAAAACTAGTAAATCAAATAATCTAAAAATTTATAAAATTATTGCACATTATCTTACTGTAATGAATGAAAAAATGGTAGCTATGCACCTACTTATGTATGTATATACATTTGCTAGCCACTTTATTAGAACATATACGTAATAAGGAGCTGATTCACCTTTTGCCTCAATAACAGCCATGAAATGGCATGATACAGAATCTAAAAGGTTCAGAAAGATGTCCTGAGGGAGTTTTCCTCATTCAGCCATAAATATTTTGCACATTTTATTGAGCAAAGTAGGCAGAGAATTGTGATAGCGAATTTAATTTTAAGTTAATTTCATAGATGCTTAATTGAATTAAGATGTGGGGATTGCAGTGGCCATGGAAGATGCCTATATTCTCCATCATGTTCCTCAAGCTATGCATGCACAATATGTCCACGATGGATGGAAGCATTGATGTTAATTTTAAGTTAATTTCATAGATGCTTAACTGAATTAAGATGTGGGGATTGCAGTGGCCATGGAAGATGCCTATATTCTCCATCATGTTCCTCAAACTATGCATGCACAATATGTCCACGATGGATGGAAGCATTGATGTTAATTTTAAGTTAATTTCATAGATGCTTAATTGAATTAAGATGTGGGGATTGCAGTGGCCATGGAAGATGCCTATATTCTCCAACATGTTCCTCAAACTATGCATGCACAATATGTCCACGATGGATGGGAGCATTGATGTCTTCGAAGTATCATTTCCAGCAAAACACATATGAAGCATCATTGCATGCACTTCATCAGAAATGTGGAATTTATGCTACCCACTAAAGGGACCAAAAGGCTCAAGATATGTCAGAAAACCATGGTTCCACCTTCAGAAGCATGGACAGTTGGTATAATATAAGAAAGGTCAAGTGATTCACATGGCTTTGTAAAAATTTGCCTTCCCCATCTCTATAATAAAGGTAAAGCATGACTTGTCAGACTGCATCACTATCCATCAGTCCTCATTATACCAATTTATGGGTTACCTACACAACTGGCAACATTTTTTCTTCTTGGTAAAAAGAGGTCAGTGGTTTATGAAATGGTCTCCTACTTCCACAGTCCCTTCATTGCAACGTTCTTCAAAAGATATGAATGGAGACGGATGTAACTTGTCCTGTACTGAATGTTTCTCTCAGTCTATTGATTGGACTTTACTATAATGTCTAAATGCTTTTTTCTACCTTTTGTCACTACATATTTCTGGTCAAAATTCTCCTAGCAGCACACGTTGTATTCATCTTTTGCCACTGGTGAGTGATAAGGTCAAATGACTGATGTCTTGGAACAGCCTATCAAAAAAACTGTCTTGACCACTGTGGCATCTGCTAGATCCACTATCATGCCTCTTTTGAATACTTGTCCCAATCATTTAGTGCAGTAGGGATCATCTGACACATCATGGGATCAACCTAATTTACATCTGCAGCTCAGTTCAGGCCTAAGCCTGAAAGGGTATAGAGATGCTAATAAAGTACAATTAACACAGATTCAACGACAATAACTAAAGTAACGAATGAGGAATCATTAGAAAAAATAATTTTCAAAATGCTTGTCTCAAAAGTCAAACTAAAAAGAATGTCTCATTTGTTTTTAGATCACTGTGTTATAAGCCTACCATTTCCACCCATAGGATTGCTACAGTTTTCTAGCAAACAAAATTTTCAACACCTTTCAATAGCCAGCATATGGTAATATTAAAGGTAGACTGACATATTACAAATGTGAAGTAAATGTATCTCATAAAATAGTAAAAAAAAATAAAAAATGGTAAAAGATATTTTAAAAAGGCAGGTTTAACATCAACAAACAGCATAAGTATGGCATTTTGAATTATCTTATATTCACCACAGTGGTCTTACATAGAATTGGAAGAATATGTAGCATTGATGCTGCTAATTTATTCTTCTGAATTATTAAGCAGACAAGCTGTTTAGATACTAAAAATAAATAGGGAAACTAACCTATCATTTGATTCACTACTTCTTATGTTGGTGTCTAGAGTTACTGATGAAGGACAAAATTATCCAAAACAGGTATAACTCAGTGACAAGAGATGAATCAAATGACAGACTTGGATTCATATTTATTTATAGTATCTTCAACATTATATAAGTTCTATTAACTTTAGTGGCTTACTGTATTACTTTATTTAAATGATCTTCAGAAGGTTGACACAGAATCTTACGTTGAAGAGAAAGTTATCCTCAAAGATACTTTGACAAAGATTCAATAGGCTTCAAAACCTAATGAGAATACTGATACATTAGTCTTAAAGAAGACTTCAGTTATTGTTATTTTGAGGTCAAAATGAATCCCTTGATAAGTAAAATAACATCATGCACAATTTGAAAGTTCCTATAATGAACAAATGCATAACCATTTGCCCTGTAAGTGCAAAAACTGAAATTATTACTTTTAAACAATTAACTCATCTCACTTCAAAGCACTTGGTTAAAACCTTTATAAAATGTAAAGAATGACAAAATATGTTTTAATTCTCTTCATTTAACTGTAACTCTAATAAAAACTTACCAACCCTCCTTGGTTACTTAAAGTACAATAACTCCCAACCAACACATTACTTGCAACAGTCTGTCGAAAAACTTCCACTTGCAAGACATCTGACAAGATTTCTTCTGTTTCCTAAAAACAAGAACAAGTAACATAAATTTTCACAAAATTCAGACACAACTTAGTTTTAATAGATATTTATTATACAGCTGACCAAAAATGTATTTTTTCATTTTAAACACAGTAAATTCAAAGCAATATTTTCATAATTTATGTTAATGTAAATCTTTCAGTATTTTACTTGTCTGAGCAAATACCCAATTTTAATATACATTTAAAATCTACAATCTTGTGTAAATAAAATTTATCTTCAATTATTTAAATAAAACATTTATTTTCCTTTTTGGCATTAAAAGAATTAAGAGGATATTTCTTGATAATATCGGAAATTTTATTTATGCATATAACTGTATTCTATGATTGATATAGATGCTTATTTTTTTAAATTGAGCACAAATAATTATGTGTAAGTAAAACTATATTCAATAAGAATTGAATGAAAAAAAATTCAACATTAACAGCTTCCTGAAAAATAACAACTAGTCATTTTTTCTTCCATCCAACAATATCTTGTTTATAATGTGTGCTTAATGTATTTAAATCCAAAATAAGTCTTCTCTTTCATTAAAGTACACAGAAAAAGGGAAAAAGAGAAAAAACTAAATGTATGCTAGTTTCAAAAGTCACCTACGCCCCTTTTCACAAATAAAAAATCAATAACAAGTATTAAAACCACATTCTTACAAGTATAACAGCAGTAAATTCAATTCACAGAACAGTCAATTGTTAACAGTGTTCAGTGTATGTCTAAACTGTTAAAAAAATCATCAATGCATGTTTCATGCTATTTTCAGAAAGCAGGAAAATGGATGCAAACTGTTATTTATTTTGTATTTACTTAAGAAAACATATACAATGTAGTTCTCCTAAACTCTTTCTACATTTTTTCTTTGTCATTTTGAATTATGAAGCTCTATTTATACAATATTTTGTGACACTTCTCGAATGAACATCGTTAACATTTTAAACTGCATAGTAAGCCCTTATTAGCCAATTATTAATTTCCAGTGGTATGTTAACCTGTGACATATTGTGGCAACACTAGAAAAATGCAATTTGTTTATATATGTTTTTATATTACTATAACACATTTTTAATTCTTATTACCAATCCAAAACTGTTTCTTGATTTAGTTTTTATAACCCTTTACCTTGCTGTAGCAGTGTTGCTATGCAACACTTCTGCAAATATTTTACAGTAGCTGTTGTGTGGAAGTTTACAATTTCAAGCATTGAAAATGTTTTTCCAATAGATACTTAACTCCTCTCACACCTAGCTTTCCTGATTCAGTGCTGCTATTTATATGCAAACTTTTTCACTCGTCACTGACCTTGAGGCTCCTACCTAATCTCATGTGTCCTAGCCACACTACACATATATCACTTCCAAAAACCTGATTCAGATTTCAGACTGTGCTTATATCTTTCAACCATCCTTGTGACACTTCCCTTCCTTTCCAGGCAAAAAGTATACCCTGGTACAGATGAGGTATGGTCTTCCACGATGTGCCCCTATACTGTTCCAAAGTATAGGGTGTTACACTCCATGGATTCTCTTTGGGCACTTCCTGAAGGGCAATCATATAGGTAAAATTTTACATCTTCCATGTGGGATTCTAGTTAGAGGTGAGAAGGGGTTGCGTACCGTATCGGAATTTAACATTTTCCATTACTGAAAATGTATTTCTGTAGATACTCACCTCTGCTGACACTTCCCACCCTTCCTCCTCATTTTTGGTGTATCTTACTTTCTTGCCTAATCTCGAAGTGATGGATGAGCAATCAGTATAGAGGGAGCCAACTGTGTTACACTTCTATTGGTGGAGGATTATCACATGCTTATTAGCATGCAACAAAGCAGCAATATCACGTGGAAACATGAGAGATTAGGTTGGAGCCATAAGGCTAGTGGTGAGATAAAAAGTTTGAATATAGAGAGCAGCATAGAATCAGGAAAACAAGATGTGAGAAGTGGTTATGCATCTTATTGTCACAAGGTCCAGTAACAAAGCCAAAAACAAGAAAACTAACATTTCTTATATGGAAAAAGTCCTATAGTTTTCTCTTAATGTAAAAATATTACAACATTATGAATCTCAAATCTTTTTTTAAGATAATTTTTACAATGAGGAAGATGTTCCGAGTCATGATGATAAACAACATACTCTTAACATGATAATTAAAAAAAGAAATACACCATGCATATGACCTCTGAAACAGTAAGCAGCTGATAAACTTAAGTCTATCATTTACCAGTTCTTAATACCAACAATTTTTATTTCTTGTAACATAATTCAACTAGCATATATCTAAAGTTCATAGACATATCAAGTTCATATTAATAATTAATTCTCTGATACAAACTTACCCTGTCTAGATCAGGATGAGTAAGGGCAACATAATCATTGCAAGCCACAACATTTCCTAAAGCTGAAAGTCTCTCTTCAGCTCTTTGTATTTTTACAGAGTCAGGTAGTGAGTTCCGAATGTGCTGAAGTTCCTGGTCTGTAGCTGTACTAGGAATGAGAAGTCCATGTCTGTTGGCTAATTGGGAAAAATGAAAAAATATCTTCGAATATACATTTTAATTCTATGATTGTGATGTAATGTCACAAACAAAAATTTGATCTAAAGTCCACACTTTATTAGTATAAGGTGTTATGTACTGTAACAGCTGATACCTCATAAGCTTTTTTACTACAGTTTTGTGTGCTGCATGTCCAGTTAATCTAATGAACTCTGGTATCATACAAAAAGCCTTGCCATTAGCAGTGTGCAGTATACAAGGTGTGTAGTTGAGATGTTTTAATATTATTTTTACTGGAAACTTGTATAAAGCTAGTAAAGAAACATGTGTTAAAATTATTACACGTCTTATTGTGATGTCACATAAACAGTCAATCTATATTTCTATATTTTAAATTTCATAAATGCATGTATCTTGATTAAAACAACATGGTGATATAAAATATAAGCAAGGTTAGACATTTGTATTTATTATTTTCTCTACTGATATAAATTCTATATATTTATAAGGTATCTATAAACCTATGGTTGATTACATTTTTCCCAATTTGAGAGACAAGACATTGTAGATACATTTCTAAGCTATATGATTGTGTTTAAAATATATGTACCATGAAACAATGCTAAAATAAAAGTACATAACAATGACACTGATAAGCGCAAAGTCATGGGATGTTAAATGTTTGCTTATAATATTAAAATATTTAGATCTTGTTGACTGTAATGAAGATGATATGAATTTTAATGAAAGAATTGGATTAGTTACATGATTGAGGCAACACATGGCAGTTGATTACAAAAAGTTAAAGGTTATGCCTGTGAATTATTATAATATAAATTACATGTGCAATCTAGATGGGAATTCATTTATAACTATACGAATGAGAAAGAAGGAACACACGAGTTTAATGTTTAATACAATACTTAAGTCTTTGAGAAACTGTGCTATTGCAAGTTGTAAAGTTAACAGAATTTTGGGTTGTACGTTGACTACACTTCTAAAGAAACCATGATATTGCTGCACAAGTCATTACTTAGGCTTCATTTAGAGTACTGTGTGCAGTTTTCATACCCTTATCTTGGTAAGACCATTGAGTTATTGGAGAAGGTTCAGTGCAGAGTTACTAAGATGAATTCAGCTGTGGATGAATTGTTATAGAAGAGGTTCAGATCTTTTAAACTGTTCTCTCTTGAAATAAAAAGGGTCAGAAGTTGGTCAAATTTAATTATTCAAAATTAGATTTCAGATTTTCTTTCATGTTCAACTCAGAGGCAGCAGAATAAGGGGTCATGAGATTAAGATTTGGAAAGGTTAAATATATCCAGTTGAGGTATACTTATTTCTTATAGGTGGTAAGTTTGTGGAAGAAATGACCATCTAGAGTGGTTGAAGTTGCAACTTTACAGGAGATTATGAAAAGGATAAATGAATATTTGGGGGCAAAAGAGTTGAACTTATGATTAGTTTGTTGTTGTTGTTTTTTTTATGAGAGAGGCTGGGGTCAAAATATCCTTATAGGTTGAAAAGGCCAGCCTTGATTTCTCATAATTTTTAAATTTCTAATGCTTACCAACACAAAGCGTTCCTATGATCCGACAACCAGCAACGGAAGTGTGAATTACTGGGATAACATCTGATAATTCTCCTTCAAAGATACTGAAATAACAAACAAAAGATGAATACAACCATGAATTAATCATACTTCAACTAATAGTAATTATTATTTTGGCATTACCACAGACAAATTAGTTTTCAAATAGATCTTGAAATAGAGATGTCTAATGATAATATTTTTGTTCTTTAAAATTTCAACTTCTCTTTAGAAAAAAAAAAGGTTAAGTTACAGAACTTACTGTATACAGTAGTCTGATTTGTATACAGACTACTGTCTCTTTTGACTTGTATCTGTAATCAATATGCAAAAGTATATTAACATAAAAGTTTGTTAATTACTCATACACACAAGATGTGCACCAACAACTGTGGATATAAAAAAATTATGGTCTATTTGTTAGACAAAAACTTTTAAAGTCTAGACAATTGGTAGAATTACTTGTTACATAATTGAAAAATGTTTGGCCTGTGTGGTAGTACAAGAATCATGCAAGGTCCTTTACAAATTACATTTGTCCTAAATCTCAACCACACTAGAATTCAAGTTTTCTTTTGTTAAATCTTTAAGTGAAATACAGCATCCTCAAGTCTCCATACTAGCTAGTACTAAGGCCTAGCTGCTGGGAGTAAATTCAGTATATATCAATAAAGCCACATTCTCAGCACCTAAGCAATTGCAAACCTTTTATGCTTCTGCTATTACCTTTTTATGTTTATCTTTCAACTGAGATATGAATGATTTCATCTGCAATTCAGTAGGGAAGGTCGAAGCATCACAACAGTCAGCAGTAGAATGAGCTGACAGGAACACTTTGAAAGCAGCTACAGGCATAATATTGTACTTGGCTTCCAGCAGAATGTCTACAAAGATGATTCTAAATGGTTCCTGGATACCTTTGCGTGTCATCTGGAGACTTCCACGCTTCTTGTGTTGGGCCATTAAGCTCATGATGCACTGATGGATTTCAGTCACCTTACCATTTCAAATTACTTTTGCAGCCCAAATGCTAAAAGAGTGCTGGAAAGACCTTCTTTTTAGCCAATAAAAATGTCCAAAAAATTTCAGTTCGAGTTAAGAAAAACCAAATTGGGTAGTTTTTCTTTTTCAACAAAAATGTCCCCCAATGATTTGTGAGGAGCCTGTTAAAATACTCTAAAATGTTGGCCTTCAGCTGATGACAACAACTTATTCCATAAGTTAATCATCTTGTTAAAAATAAGTGTCATAACTAATGCTTAGACTGTCTTTTTCCAAATCTTGGTCTCATGTCCTCTTATTCTATCAACTACAGAATATAGTAGACTAGAAAGAAATCAGAGGCCTTCATCCCATCAATCCTTCTGAAAATCTTGCAATTCTCAATAAGATCAACTCTTATATTTTTTTCAAGAGAAAATAAGTTAAGAGATCTTAACCAATTTTGAAAGATAACCCTTCCATCCCTGAAATCATCCTAGTAACCTTCCTCTGAACTCCTTCCAATAAGTCAATATCCATTATTAGAAAGTAAGTACACCAAAACTATACATAATATTTCACGTGAGGCCTAACTAGTGATTTGTATACAGACTACTGTCTCTTTTGACTTGTATTTGTAATCAATATGCAAAAGTATATTAACTTTACTACCAGCAACAAAGCACTGCTTTGATGGCTTCAGTGACTTGTCCATCATTATGGCAAGATCCTTTTCTTCAGTTGATCACAAATATGGTATTGAGTGGGTTCCCAGCTATCTTGAATATGTGTTCCAAATTATAATAACCTAAATGCATTATGTTGCACCTACTATAATTAAAAATAAGTCATATATAAAATATTAATCCATCTAAAAACTGATCCAAGTCATTCTGTAATACCTCAATTTCCTCATTAAGGTTTGAAATACTCAAGAGTTCAATGTTATTAGCAGACTTTAATAATTTATTATGTCCCTATCATTATCCATATCATAATTTAAAACAAGGAAAAGCGAAGGACCAAACAGTTAACTCTGAAGCACTCCAGTACTGCACTAATACTGAGAAATAGTATTACTAATAATAATATTAGTATTAACATGACACTAACAACTAGTTTGACTGGACTCCATTAGTAACAATATTTTGCTTTCTCTCAGTCTCACCCTAATTTAAATTACACTTACAATCACCACAGATGAGTTTTCTTAGTTAGATAATTCTGTGTGTGACACTTCATTAAAAATAAAACTTACAAGTTTTTGAAAATCTAAGTACATCACAAGTCTACACTTTTCATCTTGTAGATGCCACGTAAATTACTAAGCAACATCTCAAAAACAAAAGAAAATAAGTTATTTTTCTAGTGCAACGGTTATTTTAGTGCCATTAACTTATTATGTAACATCAGCGATAATCAAAATATATTCTCAATAAGTAGTTATGTACCCTATCAGTATCGCCGCATCTACACACCCTAATTAATATTAATAACGAACCTGTAAAAGTTTTCAGAGCCTCCTATGGCCACAAGACAATACGAGTTTGTGAGTTTCGAAAAAACCCCAATTTCGTTACTATTTTCAAACTGAGCTCGAATTGCCATAATTAATAATACTTTGTCATTTAGTGAAGACACTTGAATGATAACACACTACTGCTCGTACCATAACACGTGCACTATGACTGTGAGATTAGCCAACTGGAGATATTTCACAACAACCTGTAATATCAGGCACTTCATGAAAACGGAGTCTGATAAGGCTGCGTTTTAATTACTATCATTAATACGTATCGAGTTTAATAAATCATAATAATGAATTGTACAAAGTTCTATATATGATATGTTTAAGATAAATTATACCCCTCATATTTAACCAATTCAAAACCCTTCGTTTAGAAAAGGATCCTACAGATATATATATATATATAGAGAGAGAGAGGGTGTAACCCCTCCCTCTCTCTCTCTCTCTATATATATATATA